TATGATGAATTAAATATGCATTTTACATTTTTAAAGTATCGGAATAATAAAAGATTTTTTGGTTTTAATTATTAGAAGCGTTAAGGGCTCTTTGCGTTGTCACGTAGGACCTATCTTCAAAGTGTTGAGCCCTTTCCAAAGACACTTTTCATCGATCCAGAATAATGTATGAATCTTATTGCATAGTTTACAAGTGAATAAAGCAAGATAGGCTTCTAGTTGCCTGATATTGACCTGGAGAAAGTAATTACTGTAACATAGGATACTGCTTTTACTTGAAAACTGAAAGCTAAAGCCCCAATCGGTGGTCAGCCTGTCGGAATGGATTTAATACCAAAACGCCCGTTAAGTCTAAATTTTGTCGAAACGACGACGCTTTCTTTTCAAACACTTACCATATATTCGAGACTAGCCGTTAGACTCGTAATTTGAAAACCCTTTTTCTTCCACCTCACAACTCGCACAACCCGTAGACAGCATTGCGAAATTCTCTCTCTCGATTTCCTTTCAAGTTGACAAGATTTGAGATTTTTGGTGAGTAAATCATTTCTGATGTTTAATTTGAAGTAATTTTTCTTCTTGTATTGTATTTATGCTAAGTTTCCATCTAGGGTTTGAGGTAGAATTTGTTTGATTGTCAATTTGATGAAGTATACTCGAATCTATTCCATATATAGCTGAATTGCAATTGTAGATCTATGTTTTGTTTTCTCATTCTTTGTTGAAATACGAAAAGTCAGTTTGAAATTGTGGAATCCGACAGCGATGAGTTGAAATTTTAGGAAACTATTCAGTTACTTTCTCTATTTTTGGATGCTGAAACTGTTTCCATAGATTTATAGAGATTTATGCGCTCGTTATCCAATTTTTTTATGATAAGCTGAAATCGCCAGCAGATGCTTGGACGAAGTTCTGAAATTGATTTGAAATGAGGCGTCTGCTAATGATAAAAAACAGACTAATTAAAGCACACTTTAGTTAATGATTTTGTGAACTTGATATGGCATGTTTTGATAAATCGGGGAGATATTATTGTGTTACAATAAAAAATTGAATTGATTTTTCATCTTAAATCCGGTTTGATTTGGTTCAGTCTGTTAGCATCTTATAAGTGAACTTGATGTTTAAGGACAATTTCATGGCTTTATATATGCCCAAATATATAGTCAACAATTGTCTTTGCAACTTTAAAATGGCAGAAAACATGAATTGCATCAGCTTGGAATGATGTCTTCTATTTAAACAGATGAATAATTGGGTAGGACTTGACCAATTAAGGAAACATTCTGTTATCCCAGTTGTGTATTGCTTTTACATCATGTTATCTGCCATCTTATCTTAAAGTTGTTCTTTTGGAAACACATCAATTAACAAGTCTTTAACAGTCAGTGTTCATTGCTAGACTTTACTAATTCTCTAATCACTAAACAGATAAGCAATTGGATAACTGGATAACAACACAAGATGACAGTAAGAAGTGTTCCTGGGACACCAATTTCAAAAATTGAAAAAACACCAATACAAACACCTGGAGGATCAAGAGTGCGTGAAGAGAAAATTGTTGTAACAGTTCGATTGAGACCTCTAAACAAAAGGGAACAGCTGGCAAAAGACAATGTATCATGGGAATGCATTGATGACCATTCTATTGTATATAAACCACAACAACCTCATGAGCGTGTGCCTCAACCATCTTCCTTTACATTTGGTAAACTTCATTTTCTGATATTGTTTGTTAATCATATAATTTTGTTTTATATACAATAATGTAATTCAACTAGCTTTGTGTTCTTGCAGATAAAGTTTTTGGCCCTACAACAATCACAGAAACTGTCTATGAGGATGGAGTAAAAACTGTTGCTTTATCTGCTCTAATGGGCATCAATGGTACTTGCTACCTTTTTCTAATAACCTTTTTTACTTTTCTTGAATATTGTTATATCTGTTTTACTGATTCAATCTCCCCTGTTTTACAGCTACCATATTTGCTTATGGTCAAACAAGTAGTGGGAAGACATATACTATGAGAGGAATCACAGAAAAAGCTGTCAATGATATTTATCAGCACATAATGCAGGTAAATTATGCGCCATATGTTAAATGCAAGACAAAGCAACACACTTTTATTTGTTTATCATAACATCTTACTTCTATTTCATTTATTTTTATTAAGACATTGTATTCCAAAGTAAAATGATGTTATTTTGGGTTGTTTATACAGACTCCTGAAAGAGACTTCAGAATAAAGATATCAGGCCTAGAAATCTACAATGAAAATGTAAGAGATTTGCTGAATTCAGAATCTGGACGCAATCTCAAGCTTCTAGATGATCCTGAGGTAATTAATATATATACAATAATATTTTTCTTTAAAATTAGCGAATTTATTCTTACTCTTGTCTTAACAAGATCTGTAACCCTAAATACAGAAAGGAACAGTAGTTGAGAAGTTAGTGGAGGAAACAGCAACCGATGATAAACATTTAAGAAGTTTAATTAGTGTTTGTGAAGGTAAGCATATAATACAATATTTTCACAGAAATGAAATAAAATTGAAAGAATGAAACTTATTAACTGAAATATTTAGTGACATAATAACATTGTTTCCTTTAGTTTAAATTTGTGTTGTATGGTTTTCAGCTCAAAGACAAGTAGGTGAAACTGCTTTAAATGACACTAGTTCCCGATCACACCAAATAATAAGACTTGTAAGTATATATAATTTATTTATTATTTATGACTTTTGTGTCATGTGTAACAAATTTGGGCTTCAATGCAGACTATAGAAAGTACACTTCGGGAGACTTCAGACTGTGTTAGATCCTTTGTCTCAAGCCTGGTAACATACATTTTCTATCAAATCAACAATAAATCATGTTATTTATTGAAAACCATAAACTAACTATTAAACTTTAATATTGTGCAGAATTTTGTAGATTTAGCTGGAAGTGAAAGAGCATCACAGACAAATGCTGATGGTGCGAGGCTCAGGGAAGGCTGTCATATCAATCTTAGCTTGATGACTCTCACAACTGTAATTAGGAAACTCAGGTATATCAATATGTTAAATTTAATCAGTTCATTTTTTTTTTAGTGAAATATAGAGTGTTTTTTTTTTTTCTCTAATAAGATTTTGTTGTTTGTAGTGTTGGAAAAAGAAGTGGACATATTCCATACAGAGACTCTAAGTTGACTCGAATACTACAACATTCGCTAGGTGGCAATGCCCGAACTGCTATTATATGCACTTTGAGCCCCCGCCTCTAGCCATGTGGAGCAGTCGAGGAATACTCTCTTTTTTGCTACACGCGCAAAGGAAGTAACAAATAATGCCCAAGTTAACATGGTAAATAATATATATATATATATTTTTTTTCTCCAAATTTATTACCAATTTCTAAAATCTTGTTTTGTGGTTGAAATATTTTATTAGGTTGTTTCGGATAAACAATTGGTTAAGCATTTGCAAAAGGAAGTTTCTAGATTGGAAGCTGAGTTGCGTACTCCCGATCCATTAAATGAGAAAGATTCTAAAATTCGTCAGGTATTTTTGCTCTGTGTTTGACATGGTTTTTACCAGGGATTATGACTTCTAATATTCATTTTGTTTTTTAGATGGAAAGGGAAATTGAAGAATTGAGGAGACAAAGAGATCAGGCAGTGTCACAAGTGGATGAGCTACGTCGTAAACTTCAAGAAGAACCAAAGGTTCCTTTTCTCTTTCTCTTTTTCTCAATGTGATTTGTTTTTATGGAATCCGAGTTTTGTTCAATTTGACTGAATTCAATTTTCAACTCGACTTTTTACACAGGTATCGAATCCACAACAATCTCAACTTCCATTATCCAAAAAATGTCTCTCGTTCTCGGGGACATTACCATCAGTCATCGAGGGAAAAGAACCAACGCGCTTCGAGAAAACACGAAACACAACAGTTCGACAAAGCATGCGTCAATCTTCAACAGCTCCATTCACACTCATGCACGAAATCAGGAAGCTAGAACACCTTCAAGAGCAGTTAGGTGAAGAAGCAAATAGAGCCCTAGAAGTTCTTCAAAAAGAGGTCGCGTGTCATCGCCAAGGCAACCAGGACGCCGCCGAGACAATAGCCAAATTACAGGCGGAGATTCGCGATATGTGCGCCGTCCGACCACCGCCAAAAGACGTCGACGTTGAGAACATCGTCCCTGTTAACAAAAGCGTTAGCGCTAACCTAAAAGACGAAATCACTCGACTTCACTCTCAAGGGAGCAACATCGCGAACCTTGAAGAACAACTCGAAAATGTCCAGAAGTCGATCGATAAATTGATCATGTCGCTTCCGAATAACGATCAGATGAAAAACCAGTCGAAGAAGAAAAAGTCGAGTCCTTTGACTTCCAGCAATGCGGTCAACAAGCCGACTTTTATAAGATCTCCTTGTTCACCTCTTTCATCTGCTCGGGATGTATTTGATGCGGAAAGTGAAAATAGAGCGCCGGAAAACGATGACACTGTCACCGGTGACACTCCGGCAGTGTCTGAGAAAGAGACTCCGGTGAAGAGTGAGGAAGGTACTCCACATCGGCGTTCGAGTTCTGTTAATATGAGGAAAATGCAAAAATTGTTTCAAAATGCAGCGGAAGAGAACGTGAGAAGCATAAGAACTTATGTAACTGAGCTGAAAGAACGTGTAGCTAAACTACAATACCAAAAACAACTACTTGTTTGCCAGGTAATATATATGCTCCACTCTCATATTCAACTTTTTATTTTTGACAAATCTAGCCAATTAATTGCATTTAGCTTAATGTTGATTAAATCATCTACTTTGTTGGACACAGGTGCTTGAGCTGGAAGCTAATGAAGCAGCAGGATATGATGTTGAAAATGATGAGAACACAGAAGACATACCTGAGGTGTCCCCAGTTCCATGGCATATAACATTTAGAGAGCAAAGACAGAAGATAATTGAATTATGGGACCTCTGTTTTGTCTCAATCATCCATAGAACTCAATTCTATATGCTATTTAAGGGAGACCCAGCTGATGAAATTTACATGGAAGTTGAGCTGAGGCGACTCAATTGGCTCGAACAACATTTAACCGAACATGGAAATGCAACCCCGGCTCGTGGTGGTGGTGCTACAGACGGGCCCACAATCTCCATATCTTCAAGGTTATATTTTCCCATCTTATACTGTGTTTGACATGCATTGGACTGAGACTGAAACTAACTCTGTATCTATTATTTGTTTCTGCAGCCTTAAATCACTGAAGCGGAAAGGGAGTTTTTAGCAAAGAGGCTAACAACACGTTTGACAACAGAAGAAAGAGAACTTCTATACATGAAATGGGATGTACCCCTTGAGGGAAAGCAACGTAGGATTCAATTCGTAAGCAAACTCTGGACAAATCCACATGATGCTGAACATGTACAAGAAAGTGCAGAAATTGTTGCAAAGCTTGTTGGGTTTCGTGAAGGTGGAAATTTGTCTAAAGAAATGTTTGAGCTTAATTTCGTGCTTCCTTCTGATAATCGACCATGGATCATGGGGTGGAACCCCATCTCAAATCTTCTCAATCTGTGAGAAGAAGGAAAATTTAGTGATTTCATTTTTTTTTGTGGCAAGTAAGAATGGCATTCATTCTTTATTTATTTATTTTCCTTTTTGAATGTATATGATGAATGTTGGATGTTGGAAATATGAATCTCTCTTCATTTTAAATAAACTGTTTTTGGCTTAAAAATAAAGGGTTAAAATGCAAGTAGTGTATTATTATCATACTTTTAAGTTTATCATCTTATTAAGACACTTGCAAAGCCTATGCTCAGTTTTTTCTTATTAAGATAATGTTACTGAAAATTTTGTTTTTGCTGATTTATATTTTTTGGGGGGTTAAATACAAGAAATAGCAATATAGTTTCATATATTCTTTTGGGGGTTAAATGCAAAAATTAGAGTGCTTTAATGAATTAATAATTGAAAGTACGTTGCTATTTCTTGCTTTTAACACTCAAATCACTGCACTTAAAGATCTACACTGTTTTTTTTTGTTATCAAGACAATGTAATTTGAAAAATGTGCCCAATTATAGCAATGAAACGCGTACAGTTTAATGACGCCGCTATAATTAGATAAATTTTCAAAGTATAATGTTGTAATAGGAAATTAGATAATATTTCAAAGTATAAAAATAAACGAAGTACGATACTATTATGAATAGATAAATTAAAGTATGTCTTGCATTTAACCCATAAATATATGGTTACATGTAAGAAATAGATTTCATCCTACGTTCATTTTACCCTCTTACAACAATGTTAATTGCTATAACTTGGTGGATTTTTAGAAGTATAATGCTATAAATGAGTTGTTTTCAGAAGTACAATGCGTTAGTAAGAATTTCTTTTTGAAAGTAGGATGATATAATGGAAAAACTAGAAAAAAAATGTAATTTTGTTGCTATTTCTCGTAGTCACACGGAACACGGAACACACCGGAACGGGAACAAGGATCAGTGATGCGTTAGTGAGAATTTGTCATATATACCAAAAAGCTTTAAATTTATAATCCTAGTTATTCGACTTAGCTAAAACACAATTAGGCAATATACGTAGTCATGTAGTAGTAAAGTTGAGTAAGGAGTCGATCATAAGGAACGATCTTTTAATCAATAAAATAAAAACTAATAGTTAAACTAGAAAAACAACTAAAGATTTGGGGGGTTTTATCTGATTTTGCAAGTTCAGATTAACTTAAATTAATTACTAAAAACTTTTAAACTATAACAATGACGATTTTAAATTAAAGAGATAAAGATACTTCCGTTTAGCTTCGAATCACCCTTTTTCCTATGGTTAATTTCAATACATAGATTAATTTCAGTTGGTTACCAATTTAAATGTTACTAGAAGTCTTAGTCCGATCTCCTAATATTTTCACCAATTCATGCACTACCAGACAATGGTCTTGTACAAGTGGGACACTTAATTGACTATGAAGATTTTGGGTTATAAATAATAAATCTAAGAATTAATTATCTATGAATAAGACAAATAACCAAGCACATATTATGATCAAGTAATGCTCTCTAACACAATTTAAGCAGCTAACCTTATCACCTAATCTAGGATTTGGTAGATCACTAGCTCTAGTAATTTAATGGTCATATATAACTAGGTAACAAGTTTATGCAATCAAAGTGGTCATCCAACTACACAAAACTTGAATGATAAGCAATAAAGATAGAAACTTTAACATACTAGGTAATGATTTATCAAACACAAGCTAAACCAACTTCAATAATCCATGAAAAGAGAACTAACACATAGTATTAGAGATCATCTAATCTTAACAAAAGTTAAAGGGTATTAACTTCAATAATCCATGAAAAGAGAAACTAACATATAGTATTAGAGATCATCTAATCTTAACGAAAGTTAAAGGGTATTAGCCCATAATTACAGAAGAAAAACACACAATCAAATAGAAAGCTAGGTTAAACATGATTAAGTCTAGGCAAAGTGAATGAATTATGTGGTATTCTTGCTCTAATATCTTAAACTCTTGATCTATAATCTTCTTCTGCCTTCCAAGGGTTCTTAGAAAGGTTTTATTTGCTTTTCAATCGCAACTCTCCGCCAAAAGTCTTCTGGTTTCGACCTAAAGTCCGAAATATATACTCACCTTAAAATTGGTCGCCACGTTGTGACAATATGAGTGTCACGTCGTGGGAAACATATTAATCCTATGTGCACCAAGGCTTCCATGCAAGTCCAAAGAAGATTCTATGATTGGCACGTAGTCACGTCGTGAAAAACATCTTCATGCTTAAATCGAGAAGATTTCAAATGCCACGTCGCGGGATGTAATTTCCCACATCGTGAAAACTTCAATATGCTCGATTTCCTTCTCTCTTATCCTCTCAATGTAAGCTCCAAGCTCCAAGTTTCCAACTTTCTTCAAATTCAGTATTTTTTTTCCTTGAGAATGTCCTCTTTGGCCGCAAAATAGAATTTATACATTATAAGTACCAAATATCGTTGCATTTTACCAAAATATAACTCAAATGTATTAAATAATGCATAAATATATGTATAAATATGACACTATCAAAATACCTCACACTTGCCTTTTACTTGCCCTCAAACAAAACTTATTTTAATGCATCACATAGAACATCGAATACCAACATCACCCAAAGCAATCCGGATTGAACTCACTAATTATGTCTCACCTCAGTGCATGTATTTGTGTCTAAATTATCCTAAATACTTCCCAAACCCTATATACTAACAATCCTCATAAACGTTTTCCCACTTATTTTGAACAACTTTCAATTTTGGCTTTCCTACTACCCATGCCATTTTATTTATTTACCCCCTTTCGTTTCAAAATTTATTGCCAAATTCCAAGTGACTCAACTTTAAAAAGAAAAATACTATATAATATAATTTTCCTAAAAATATAACTAAGCTTTAATTGCAACTTCTTTTGTGGAACTTTTTCTCTTTTCTCACTTTTTTTTCTCATAACTTCAATTTCACACATATAAGCAAACAAATAACTTTAACTTTAACTTTATACCAATACTATAGTTCGAGACTTTCTAAGAAATTCATTTGAGTATTCGGAATTCCTTAGGCCACTAATGGAACCTATGACTTTCAATGAAACCCATGTAACAATTTTATTCCCATCCATCCTAGCTTTTATAAACAGGTTGACAAGTGTAGACATTCCTGGGGAGAATACTTACCGAGTCTCAAAGGTTACAGATTGGTTCCACTCATGAACTGTTAATTATTTTTTATATAACTAGACTCAACAATGCAGAAAACTAAATAGATAAACTTGGAAAATTGACTCGTTTTATTTTAAAAAAAATGACCCAGAAGATAAATCGTCACCGATAGGCTTTTTATTGGGTCTAAGTATTCACAAAGCAAAACTTATTATGCCCCTCAAACTACAGAAGGTTGCGTTTTTGTCTCATGATTTCACTAGGACTGGGAAGCCACAAATACACTATAACATATTAGCTTAACAAAATCTTAGAGTTCGTATCGAATCGTCCCGCATAACACTAGCAAACTAGTCCAAATGCAATAATATCAAAAAATTTAAAATGTATTAGATTTCAAAATTAGGCTATTTTTGCAAGTCTATATAATTAATTTTTTTTAATTTCTAGAAATTTTCTAATAATAATTTTAATGCTTGAAAATCCTATTTCGACTCCTACCCCATACTTATTTCGTACAATGCTCTCATTGTATACATAAAACAAATAAAGCACATAAAAGAAAATAAAAGGGAGAAAAAGGAACAGACTCCCCTGGGGTAGTAGTGGCAAGATCGAATCTGATTTATTGTGGGAAGGCTTGACATCTCCTAAAATCTGCTGAAAACTAGACCTCAGCTGCTTGTGAATGTGCCGGTAAAATAAAACCAAGAACTTCGACTTCGAAAATGTGGTGCGAAAAACTTCAAAATAATAAGATGTTCTGGTGTCACGACGTGGAAAAGTAGGAGCCACGTTGTGGAATTAAATGTGATAATATCTGAATCGCGATCAAATGGTACGTTACGACGTGCCAAAGTAGTTACCACGTCGTGAGAATGTTAACATCATAAACTGCTTTTCGATGGAATGTCATTCCACAACGTGACATAAGGCTGGTCACGTTGTGAAAACTGGAGAATCCCAGAATCAACTTTTGCCAAAATTGCATTTCTTGAAATTCCTTCAATTGACTTCTAAACTGCATTAGCCTCTTTCTAAGTCTCATTTTTCTGTAGAAACTCTCAACATCTCGAACACACTCGATATGCAGCCCACACTTATCGAAAGTTGTGGTTCTCGATTATAACCTTCAAACGCTCACGACATTTCTTTTCTCTCGAAAATCCTTTAATTTATGCAACAACAAAAATAAAACAAACCCTAGACTAATACTTAGACAACAAACATAAACATTCGGTTACATGATCAAATAAAATCAAAATACACCAAAACAAAAGCAAATAACTCACACCAAACATAAAAATAAAATAAAATAAAAAGGATAAAGGTTCACTCGTCGTCCTCATCTCAAGCTCCACTAGTCCCGACTCCAAAATCTCCAGTCGCCCACAACTCTTACCATGTCGGGATATATGGCAATTTTTGTGGCGTATTGTCCGGGCGGTCAATGTGGAAATGTGAGAATAATATGTCCATAGACTGACCAAGGTAGTTTACTCCCCCGGGAAGACAATCCAAATATGTACCGACCCGGTTTTCAAATGGATCTGTCGGAGCTCCTCCTATGTGTACATCTGGTGGAGGAGGTTTTGCTCGTTCTCCACCTCTCCGTTGTACATTCCTTCTTCCTATTGGCCTCGAATCCTCCACATCCTCAATCGTCAATTTAGGGTCATCCGCCGGTATCCCATAACTACCTCCCAGTTTCACTACCACTCATATAGTCTCTAAAACTAGTAGTGAGATCAATTCCTGAAAATAAATTAAAGAACGAACCATGCCCAGAAATAAGATTCCATAAGACTTTGCTAGGCGGGTGACAAATGTCCTCCCATAATAGGACTTCCCGCTTGCGAGTTCACCGCTTTTCCTCCCAATAACCTTGCCAACATATATGGGATATTACAGAAAACTCCCGGTGTGATAATACTCCAAAGATAAAACAAGTTTTG